CTCGGCAGGGAGTCTGCTTCTCCCTCTGACCCTCCCCCGTCTCATGTGCTTGCTCTCTCTCATTCTCTCTCTCTCAAATAAATAAATAAATAAATAAATCTTTAAAAAAAAAAAGATCAGGCTAAACAGGTACCCCCACCCCCCGCCACCCCACAGCTGGGGCTATGGTGGGACTCGGAAAACCTGGTGATCTGGAGGAAAGGCAGCATGGAGGCAGTGGATATTGGCGGACACCCAAGAAAACCCCAACTTTGTGCCCTGGGGCTGCATCTTAAGCTCTTGTCACAGGCTCCTGAGCTCATCAGAGGCACACAAATTAAGACCCACTGAGTAGGGAGGAAGGCCAACCCAGGCCCTGCGGAGACTTGAGGCAACACAGAGCGAACCTCACTCAGAAATGAGCCCGATGACTATTTTCCCATGAAAAATGCAGAACCAGCCAAGTTTGATCAAACTGGAAATCATTCAACATAGGCCACTTCTGAAATGATTGAACTGGGATGAAATCGAATATAAAACCATAAAAATATCCCCCAAACCAGCCAAACAATCTTAGTCCTGGACCCAACAAGTGACAGATAGGGTGTCTCCGAGAAGGGGCTGGGTGTCCATCAGCCAGTGGGAAGTTGAGCGCCTTCGGGCTGATGAACAGGAGGGAACAGCAGGGGCCCGAACCTGGAAGCTGCCGTCACCACTTAGCGTTCAGCGTCCAAGACACGCGGGGACTTTTTTTTTTGAGAAGCACCTGCAGGGCTGTGGAAGTGACGCAAATTTGGAGTCAAAGTATCTGGAGGCCCAATTATATGCCACTTGTAAGTTATATGACCTTGAACTTCCTCGAGCCTCTGTTTCTTCATTGTGCTATAGTATAACAAAGATAACCCAGACTTGGATGAAATATTGGAGGTGGGCGCCACTTTGTGGAGGATAAAAAGACATGGGGACATCAGTCATTGCTCAAGTCAGGAGCACAGCCTCCCCCCAACCCCCCGACTCGCCACCCCGCTTTCCAATCGCCCCTCCTTCAAGGTCTAGCTCATGCCCTAGCTCCTCCCTGATGCCCTCCCTGGCCTCCCAGACCCCTGCTTGCCCCCTGCATGCACCATCCGCTCCCCCCGTCCCCGTGGCCACATACACAGTCTGCCTGCTGCCCACTTCGGTCACTGCCGCCCCAACTACCAAATACACCTGTTATTTACTGTCCAGTGGGTGATCGACTCCCCAGATCACCTGCACCTGCAAATCAAGAGCTGTGTCTCCCACCTCTTCGGAGCTCAGAATGTGGGAGTGGAACCAGCCTTGAAATCACCTGTCCCTCAAGGGGACACCTCAGAGAGGTGAAATGACCCGCCAAGAGTTGCTCAGCTCTGGCGGTCGAGTCAGCACCAGGAGCCAGGCCCCTTGATGCCCAGTGACACGGTCAATGGGGTGGGGGTGCAAAGGGGACCCGATTTTGCAAATCATACGGGTCCCACTGTGTCTAACAGCGACAAACGTTTCTGACGGGTGGGTGTTGGGCCTGGCAAAGGCTGGAGGGTGGGAAGGGGGTCGGGAGCCACAGTGGCAGTGGGCTTTGGGATCAGGCTGATCTAGGATAATCCTGCTGCCACCCCCACTGTCTGCTCGTGGGCAGCTTCGTTCCACTGAAGTCAGAACTGCTTTTCGAGCCCGCCCGTGGCAGGCACACTCAGCAGAGGTCGGGATAGAGGTGCCCTGCTTGGTTGTAATGTCGTCGGCTGGAGAGGTTTCCGAGAGAGGAATGAAGTGTTTTACCCCCTCCAAGTCCCTTAGGGAGTTCGGGAGAAAAAGGGCAGCGACCCTCATGGTGGCCAGGAAACAGCAGCTCCTGTCTCTGGCCCTTGGAGCCCTGGTGCTATCCAGTGCATGAGTTAGGAATGCCTTGTCACCAAGGTCCAGCCTCCCTCGAGAACGGTCGGGGACAGAGTGGCAGTGAGGGCAGAATGTCCAGGATTTATCCCGGGATAGTGGAATGTAGAGCATGCAAACACTGTAAACACACTCTTTGAAACAGTGTGAACTTGTAAGTGCTGTCCCCCTCCAGGACTGCATTACCCCCTCCCCTCCCCCTGCCCCCACGCCCCAGTCCCTGGGTCACCCCTGTCACTGGAGGAAGCAGTCTTGACCCCTGGCTGGCCCGTCCAGCAGCCACAGAAAGGGGAGAGACAGGAGGACCGGCGAGGGAGGCAGGAGGCTTCTCGGGGGACTCGGCCACGGCTCTGTACCTGCCCTAACCTGAGGGCTATTTTGTGGGCTACCCAGCCAGCATTTTGAGCTCCAGGTCTGGCCCTCAGTCCCTGATTTCCTGGGGACTGGGCAGACCTCTGATATTGCTGCCTGGTATATAAGTTTGAGTCCCTCAGGTAGCAGATATCTCAAGTCCCTAAGGGAGACAAAGATGGAAGATTCCACTCGTCTGTGTGAGGCAGCCCTGCAGACTTAAAGCTTCACAAGCAAGCGGCCGTTTGTGTAAAGAAAAAGATGCCTTTCCTTCCCGGGGGACTAAGTCCCTACTTCAGGGTGCACAGCTGGGCAAGTGGTGCACAGACTGCATTTTGACCCCCACTGGCCTCTCATCTAGGCTCCTTTGTGCAGTGCACAAACCATGCAACTAAGCACGGCAGCCCTAGCCAGTTTTGTATTTCATACTCCCTGTGAGCAGACTCCGCAGGCACCAGGGGCACAGAAGGAGCAAGACGACATAATCCCTGGGCTTACGGAGCTCACACAGGACTGGCTACAAACAGAGCAACCTATGACCACAACAGTGTAGGGTGAGCTCAAGGCTATCAGGCAAAGAGCAGCGTGTGGGGCAAGGGAAGGGACAGGCGTGGGGGAGGAACTTAATTTACAGCAGGTGCGGAGGGGGTGGTTTCGGTGGAGGGGTCGGGGGCCAGAAATCAGACCCAGAAAGAGTTCAGCCTGTTCGAGAAGCAGGGAGGTCAGTGGTTTGAAGGGAGGATTCTGGGGCAACGTCAGAAAGGTGAGTACGGCCGGGTCGGGCAAGGGCTTCTAGGTCGCTGCTGGAAGTTTGGATTTTGTTCCAAGTGTGGTGGGACCCCTGGCACCTCTAAGCCACTGGGTGGAAGAGGAAGGGGGAAGCGACCAGAGGCAAATGGCCTGGGTGATAACCCCTGGGAGCACAGCAGAGGATCAAGGGACAAGGGGAGGAGGGACAGCTGAACAGGGCTGCCACCACTCATGATGTCGGGGATTCTGGTGGGTTTGGAGGTGACATTTCGGCTTCCGGGGTGGCACCCCTAAGAGCAGAAAGGAACCACAGGCCTCGCTCTGCCTTTCGTGACAGGTTAGGTCATGGGGTCTCCTCTCTGCGTGTAGCACCCAGGCGGGAGGTCCTCTCGTTGACTAATCAGAGTGATGTGTGTCTGCAGTTCAATGTTAAAAAGTCCACGGAGCCTGTCCAGCCCCGAGCCCTCCTCAAGTTCCCAGACATCTACGGACCCAGGCCGGTTGTGACAGCCCCAGAAGTCATCAACTATGCAGACTACACCCTGAGGACCACGGAGGAGCCTGCTGCACCTGCCAGCCCCCAGGCCCCGAATGACAGCCGTCTCAAGAAGCAGGTCACAGAGGAGCTGTTCATCCTTCCTCAGAACGGTAGGGGTCTCCTGCCTGTGGTTCCCCTCTAGCCAGCACGGCGCGGGGGGGACGGGTGGACTAAAGGCGTCTCTGTAGATGCTGGGGATGGCCAGCCCCCGCGTCCAGAGCATTTGACGCTGGGCAAGCAGGTGGGCCCAGGGCTTCGGAACCACAGGGCTTTATTCCTGCAGACATATTGCTACATTGCTTCCCTCCAGGGCCCCCGGCTTCCCACTGGGCAGCGAAGAGTCCTTTTCAAGTTGTGTAGAGGAGTTGAGATTAGATCACGGGCTTCCGGAGTCATGGGTTCAATTCTCTGCCCTTTCATGTACTCGTTGGGTGGCCTCGGTCATGTTGTTAACCTTTCTGGGCCTCCGTTTCCTCACACATAAAATGGGACTGCACTATTATCTGCCCCGGAGGGCTGTTGTGAAGTGCGAATAAAATGATGCATGTAAAGCGCTCAGCCCAGGGAGTGGCACAAAGGACGCGATCACAACATGCTGTTACTATGGTGTTTCTCTTCTCCTTCTCATCAGTATGGACTTCAAGATGTAACACCTTTAGGGTATGCTGGGCACTGGGGCAGATGCGCCAAGCAGACACTGTCCCTAACCCAGAGGAGCATGCTCTCATAAGGAGGCAAGAAATACAGCTGGGAGAACGGGGTGTTGTGTGGTTTGGGGGTTTTGTTTATGTGGTTGGACAGGGAGATGGCAGAAAAGGAAGCAGCAGAACTGGTTCTGACTTGGACCCCGATTTTTATGCATCTCCTGGCCTGGGTCCAACTGTACCCCATGCTGGCCGGTGAACGGCACCCCCCCAAAACCCACCCAGGACCACAGTGATTAGTCAGGAATTTCTTCAAGAACAAATTCACAAAGTGCCTGTGGCATGAACGAAGCTGCTTCACTTTTAGCCTCTAGTCTACATTTTATTTTCATTTTAAAGATTTTTAAGAATTTATTTATTAGAGAGTGAGCGAGCATGAGCAGGGGGAGGGGCAGAGGGAGAGGGAGAAGGAGACTCCTCGCTGAGCGGGAAGCCCGATTCGGGGCTCGATCCCAGGACCCCGGTATCATGACCTGAGCCGAAGGCAGATGTTTAACCGACTGAGCAACCCAAGTAGCCTACATTTTAAATAGATGAAAACAGACCCATTGAGGACTTGAGAGCTTACGCTTGATGGGTGGGGAAGAGCTTGCCTGAGGAGCCTTGAGGGTGGGTGATCAGAATCCTAATTCCTCCAGAGCCCAGATGAAACCAGGATTGGATGCTCTCCACCAGGAAGAGCAGGAGAGCGTGTCGGAGTCTGGAACTTGGAAGAATTCAGAGCATTAGCCCATCTTCTCTCTGTCGTCACTCCTCATTCCTTTTCCCACCCCAGAAGCCAAGCAAGCACTGGCCCCACAGAAAGCTATCAGGAATTGAGTCTTCAGCAAATACTGACCAGAGGCAAGGGCGTGCAGGAGAGGGGGGTGCCAGATCGATTGGACGTTGTCCCCATGATGCTGAACATGTCCTACTCCCACCCGTGACGGTCCTCAGCCCCTGTGGAGCTCAGCGTCCCATTTCTAGAAGCTGAATCCGTCCCTGCCTTTCCAAGGGGTGCCGGCTTTGGTCTGGTTTTGATTTGGTTTTGAAGTTGAAGGCTGAGGTCCTCTGAGAGCGGAGAGCTCTTGGTGCCAGGCAGGCCCCTTCTGGCACCGACCCTGCTGTGGTCCTCCGTGTGGCGCCCTCGGAAGCCGCGTGGGTCCTGTGTGCGTGTTGGTCTCGCTTTACGCGTTGCTCACAGCCTGGTCGATCCGTTCCTGACTTAGATGTGCCAGGGGAATTGTTCACCACTTGCGCGAACCCCCTAACAAGCCATTTTGAAAGTTCAATAGTCCTTCAAGTATCTACTCTCTCAATTTGTTCTGAAAAATCAAAATTTTTACAATTCCAATTTGCCTCAAGTGGAGTCTGCTACAGCTGCTGGACCCTCTAATTCCTGTCGTATGTTTGACTGATGACGGTCTTCCAGATGTTTGGTTCCTGTGCGAGGGGGCAGAATGAGCAATCTTTGTGGGTTTAGGAACTTCTGAACTAAGGCTACGCTCATTCATTCATTCCACGAGCATTTACTCTACCTGCACTGAAGTCACGTCCACGACCCCTGACCTTGCCCCCCCCCGCCACATCTCCTCCTGACTCATTTCTCTCACATTGATCTCCAGCCGTAAACACCTGGGGAGCAGGGATGAGACTCTGGGAGAGGCAGAGCTGGAGATGGGCTGAGCTCAGAACCAGGGCGCCTGGACCACACAGGCTGTGACAGTTTCCCTTCCCGAAAGCTCACCAGGGGCCGGGCCCTGGGCCAAGTACTTTCCCTGCTTTATTTCATTTCGCGCAAGTAGCTCTAGGAAAGAGGAACTATGATCACTCTCATGGTAAAGATGAGGAAACCGCGAAGTCATTTGTCCGGGGTCACGTAACTATTACAGGGCACCTCAGGTACGACACCAAAGCCCATGTCTTGCCCACTGGGCAGTGACAGTCCCTTACAGTGTCATCCCAGGACCACAGGTGTCACCCTGGCATGGCCACCACGACTTGGCCCCCAGCTAGGGAGCTTTCGGTTTGCATTCACATCATAGGTGACAGGTGGGAGAGATGTGATCTGGAAAACGGGACCCTCGCGTGAGTGGCAGTGACGGCCTTTCCTCTCTTAACAGGTGTGGTGGAGGATGTGTGTGTCATGGAGGCCTGGAACCCGGAGAAGGCCGCCAGTTGGAACCAAGCCCCCAAACTTCACTACCGCGTGGACTATGACCAGCAGAAGGCAGAACTGTTTGTGACTCGTCTGGAAGGTATTACTTTTATTTGACTTCCACGGGCTTCCATGTGCCCGTCTCCCCTGGAGGAGCTGTGGCTGGGGGGAGCACTCTGTAACCAGCAGACCCTGAAATGTGTGGGGTTCCCCCCTCCTCTCCTATAACATCCAAAGTGGAGGATCCTGGTTGGCAAACATCTTGGCTCCAAGTGGTGATTCAGGGGCCAGGCTTCTCCCATCAGGGGCCCCCCAATCCTCTCAGGCCTCCTTGTCATCTGTATCTAGCAGGTGGGAAGAGAGGGAGAGAGTGCAACCGCCCCTTAAAAGCCATGACCTGCACAGAACATGTATCAGTCCTGCTCAATCCTAGAACTCAGTTGCATGGCCACTGACTGCCAAGGAGCCTGGGAAATGAGGCTCAGCGGGTGCTCAGCAGAAAGAGGAAAGGGGGTTTTGGGGAATAGCTAACTATCTCTGTTGCAGGTGCTGTTGACATTGAATGGGGCTTTGTGCTAGATATGGAGGGAGTTCTGAATGCGCAGCAAAGTTTCTGTAATCCAAGAACCGGGCAGTCTTTCCAAGGGGGTCAGGATGTCCCTGGTCTCTACCCCAACAATTCACTTTAACATCAGCAAACAAAGCTGAGACTTTGCAAAGGACTTGGGGGCTAACAATGGGCCATTCTATGGCTCCTGGGAGTTGGGAGCTGTGAGCAGGAGAAATTAGACTTTTGTATTAAATTTTATATTTTTAGGGGGTGCTTTTCCTTTTTATTCTCTTTCAAGATTTTTTTAGCCTTTTCATATACTTTATTACATTTGGTCTTCACAATAGTCCCATTTAACAGATTAGGTAACTGAGGTCTAGCAACCTCAGCTGACTTGTCTGAGATCACTCCAGCTATTGGTGCTAGAGCCGGGACTAAACCCAGTTCCCCTGGAGCACGGTGGAGAGTTCTAGCAGGATACATGGCCTCAGTCCTTCACCTTCTCTTCCTGGGAAAGATCAGCTCCCCTTTCCCAGATGACCACTGAGCAGCCAGCCATAAAAGCACCAGGGGTACAAGTTTCTGGAATAAGTCCACCTTGGGAAGCATTAAAAACACCGAAGTTCGGAATAAGAAAACAACAGAGGTAGGGGCCAAGCGATGCACATCACAGATGGTTGTGTGGTAAGTATTTAAAGTACAGAACAAACAAGTACAGAATCAGAGCACAAAAGGCATCAGCCGTTCGTTCGTGGGCCCGGGCATCTTGGGGACACCTCAGGGGCATGAGGCGGGGAGGGCTCCGGGACGCACCCCGTCCCGTCCCTGTTCTCCGGGGACCAGCGGGCGCTGCCGTGGGCCGCCTCAGGGGAGCTCCAGTTTCTTTTTTTTTTTTTTTAAAGATTTTATTTATTTATTTGAGAGAGAATGAGATAGAGAGAGAGCATGAAAGGGGGGAGGGTCAGAGAGAGAAGCGGACTCCCCGCTGAGCAGGGAGCCCGATGCGGGACTTGATCCTGGGACTCCAGGATCATGACCTGAGCCGAAGGCAGTCGCTTAACCAACTGAGCCACCCAGGCGCCCCGGGGAGCTCCAGTTTCTAAGGCGAGTCCACAAAGCCACGGTGGTCAGCCCCGGGGCTCTCGTACACCTGGGGTCATGACCGTGAAGCTGGACGCGGCCGCTGCCAGCGGGCCCGTGCCGCTCGCCTCCCCTTGGCCTTGCCGAGTCCCACGTCTGTGTTGCTGTCTCCTTGGCTGCAGCTGTGACCAGCGACCACGACGGAGGCTGTGACTGCTACGTCCAAGGCAGCGTGGCCAACAGGACCGGCACGGTGGAGGCCCAGACGGCCCTGAAGAAGCGGCGGCGGCACACCACCTGGGAGGAAGGCCTGGCGCTCCCCCTGGCGGAGGAGGAGCTCCCCACAGCCACGCTGCTGCTGACCCTGCGGACCTGCGACCGCTTCTCCCGCCACAGCGTGCTCGGGGAGCTCCGCCTGGGCCTGGACGGGGGGTCTGTGGCTCTGGGGGCCGCCCAGTGGGGTGAGCTGAAGACTTCCGTTAAGGTAGGGGAAGCTCTTGCCAGGGAAGCTGAAACCCGTTGGTGGAGTTTGGGGTGGCGGGACTGGGCGGGACTGGGCGGGACTGGGCATTCCTCAGGGCCTGGCAGGGAAGGGTCGGAGAGGTCAAGGCCATAGGACGGTGTGTGGCTATTCAGGCCCTCGGGTCAAGGCCTCATCCAAGGGCCTGCCACAGGGGAGCCTAGAGGGAGTCTTCTGGGGGGCTGGTCTCAACCAGCTGATCAGTGCCGTAGGGGGAGACTGCATAGCCTACAAAACCCCGAGTATTTACTAGCTGGCCCTTTACAGAAAACGTTTGCCGGCTCCTGTGCTCGAGTAATAAAAATACTACAAAGGGCATTCATTTTTGAGTACTTACTATCTATCGGTTGCGGCGCTTAGAACTTTACTTCAGTCCTTTCTCAGAGCGGCCAGGCAGAAACGACACTGTGACTCCTTACAGACATGGGGACTGGGGCTTCGAGTGGTGGGGTAAGCCACGCAGGATCACCCAGCTGGGACACCGCCATCTCGGCCTTGCGGCCAGGTTGGTCTGGCTCTAAGTCCAGTGCTGTCCCCTCGCCACTGAGCCATGTGCCTGTGAGGCGCCCTCCACCGGGACCTTTCCTGCCGGACACTTTCACTCCCCACCTGCCCCCCGTTTGGCTATCCTCTCATCCTCGCCTTATTTTTCTTTCTTTCCCAGCCTCTGAAACTTGATAAAAATTGACAGCTACTCTCAGCTGGAGCCCCGCTGTTCTGCAGCAGGTTCCCTAATGACTGTGTGATTTGGAATCACAGCCGGGGGCCCTGGGAAGAGGATGGAGGCTTGTGGTTCATTCAGCTGGTAAACCAGCTTTCTCTGGAGGGGGAGGGCCTCCCCCAGGGCTTCGGAGACTTCTAGCTGGAAGTCCCAGACCTGCTGTCCCTCCCCCTAGAAGAGCAAAATGCATCCCTTCATCCCGGGAATACCGGATTTCCAGGGTGTGCCAGGCCCTGGGCCAGGATTTGGGGACACAGTGGTAATTAAGACTAAGCCCTGCCTTCAGGGCACGTGCCTTCTCATTAGCATCACAGGTACCCTGTGCCTCAAAGATACCCCCGACAGGTGAGCAATGTCAGAGGCCCATGCTGGCCAACCTAGGAGCTGGTGCCCAGAGGCAGGTGCGGGGGTGGGGGGCCCTGGCCCCAGCTGGGGCGTGTGGGCTGAGGTGAGCAAGGTGGGTGGAGTGTTCCGTGGCCAGAGCCCGGAAGCCTCTCTCCTCTAGGCCAGAATGGGTTAACACAGGGGCCGTCCGTGCCCCAGTTCTCACCGGAAGATGCTCAGCCAAACAGTGGCATGTGCGTCACCACGGATCATAGAGCACCCCACTCCAAGGGCATCTTGGATGATTCATTGAGAGCCCGAGAGAAAGTTGGGGGGCAGGGTGAAGGTGAAGAAAGTTATTTTTGCAGACAGGTACTTGAAGCAGCAGAGCGGAGGAGGCAGAGGCTGCTAAAATTATCGGGCTGGTACAGCCAGTGGGGCTCCTCCCGGGCTCTTGGCACCCCTACAGAAAGGTGACGAGCCCTTCACAGGCTGACGGGCCCAGGTTCCTCTCGCCTGGCTTCGGGGGAGCAGGATCACCCTGTGGCTACAGCCCAGGCCAACCGTGGACCTCCAAGAAGTGATCTAGAATCAGGAGGCTGGGATGGCACCCTCTGGGTGCCCGGACAGGTCCCTGGGCCTAGTTCCTTCACCGGGGAAAGCTCCGGGTAAGGAACTGGGCTGCCGTATTAGACCAAACCTCCATTCAAGGCTCAGCTTTGCTACTTCCCTTCCTTTGGCTATGTGACCTCAGGCAGCGAAGTGCCCTCTCCAACGTCAAGGTCTTATGCTTAAAATGAGAACAAGATTAGTATTGCTAGGGTTGTTGTCAAGATTCAGTAAGAGGGGGCGCCTGGGTGGCTCAGTTGGTTAAGCGACTGCCTTCGGCTCAGGTCATGATCCTGGAGTCCCGGGATCGAGTCCCGCATCGGGCTCCCTGCTC